GCGCGCATGAGCCCTCGGAAGGCTATGGTATGGTGGCCAGTGCGAGCCCCAGACCAACGCGTGTTACCGTTTTGGCCGTGGACCTCGGCTCGAAGCTCTTAGTGCATCTGACGATCCGACAACCTACTTAATCATCATTCTAAACAACCCTCAATCTCCTCCATCATCCCAATCATCAATTTGCTATCACAATGAAGCCAACACCAGACTGGGTCAAGCAGCTGAAGCCTTCAGGCGTTCAAGGCCATGAATTGCTCAAGGCTGAACGCGCCAACTCCAATGTCCCCGTCCAAGAGCTAGAAGTGCTTCTACACACTCAAGATGTCATCGACAGAAGGAATAAGATTCTTGACATACTCAAATCCGAGAAAGTCTTCGATAAATCACAGAACTACTTCATGGGGAGGATCGATAGGTTCGAACGCGCGCTTGCAAGGGAGAAGAGGTTGAGGATATTAAAGAAGCAACACAACTGGTCCTTCGAGGAGTTCCGGGCTGCCACAGAGCTCGTTGGAGAACCAGGACCATACGGACTTCACGACAGCATGTTCAAGGTACCCGTCACTGCCCACCTCCACATAGCTTTTACTAATGATTCAGGTTACACTCGAGGGCCAGGGTACACCGGAACAACAAGAGAAGTGGCTTACCAAAGCCAACGACTACAAGATCATCGGATGCTATGCCCAAACTGAGCTTGGCCATGGTTCAAATGTTCGTGGACTTGAAACAACAGCAACGTGGAACAAGGACGACAAGACCTTCACCATCCACTCGCCACACTTGACCGCCAGTAAATGGTGGATCGGATCCCTGGGCAGGACAGCCAACCATGCTGTCGTCATGGCTCAGCTCGTCATTGATGGCAAGTCCTACGGACCAGCGCCTTTCTGCGTTCAAATCCGTGATCTGAAGACACATGAGCCTCTTGAAAACATTCACATCGGAGATATTGGTCCTAAATTTGGTTACAACACCATGGACAACGGTTTCCTCCTGTTCAACCACGTCAAGGTTCCGCATATCAGTATGTTGGCCAAGTACACATTTGTTGACCCCAACACAAACAAATTCGGTCGCCGTGGTTCTCCATCTCTTGTCTACGGTACCTTGACTTGGGTCCGATCGACCATTGTTATGCAAGCCGGCAGTGTGCTTGCTCGAGGTGTCACCATCGCAACCCGTTACTGCGCTGTGCGTCGTCAATTCCAGGATCGAGATGCTCCTGCTGGTGTGGATGAGACCCCTGTTCTCAACTACACCATGGTGCAAATCCGGCTGCTCCCTCTTCTCGCTGCCACTTTTGCACTCCATTTTACCGGAAAGTCGATGATGGACATGTACCAGGAGAATCAGAAGAAAATTGCTCAGGGTAATGCCACCAACGCACCAAGCAAGCGTGGCGCTGGGCCAGAGGAAGTCCAGTCCGGCAGTGACATGTTGGCAGATTTGCACGCTTCCTCGTGTGCGTTGAAGTCTCTCAGCAGTTCGATCGCAGCAGAGGGTCTGGAGGTCTGCCGAAGAGCTTGCGGTGGTCACGGCTACTCGAGCTTCAGCGGTATCGGACCCTGGTACTCTGACTATCTCCCTACTACAACATGGGAGGGAGATAATTACATGCTGACCCAGCAAGTTGCACGATACGTAAGTTTGATAGCCCAACAAACTATATTTTATGCTTACTAACACTTGCTGTAGATGCTCAAGTCAGCCCGCTCCGTACTCAAGGGCGACAAGCCAACAAACGACACCACCCAGATTCTATCGGAGTTCTACTCGCGTCGTGAAATTGGCTGCGCATTTGACGTAATTGGCTCTGACAGTGATCTCGTCGCCGCCTTCGCCTGGCGCGTATCGTTCCTCACTTTCGAGGCCAGCAAGCACCGCGATGAGCAGAAGAAGCCTTGGAACGACCTACTCGTTGACTTCTACCGCCTCAGCAAGGCCCATGCGCAGTACATGGTTGTGAAGAACAATCTTTCCGCGCTCAAGAACATCGAAAAGGAGGGCAAGGTCGACAAGGCCATCCTTGACGTGCTGATGAAGTTGTTCCGCCTCTTCGCTCTACATACACTTGAGCAGGAAGGTTCCGAGTTCTATGCTTCCGGTGCGTGCAGCAAGCACCAAATTTCGCTTGCAAGGACTAATACCGTCATGAACTTGCTCAAGGAAATCCGACCACACGCTGTCAGGCTCGTGGACGCTTGGGGCTTTGACGACTGGGTCCTTGACAGTAGTCTCGGTCGCGCTGACGGAAAGGTTTATGAGGACATGTTCTACAGAGCGAGCGAACTCAACCCGCTCAACAACTACACTGTGGACCCATACCCAGATAGCGATGTTTTGTTCAAGCGTATCGAGAAGAGCAAGTTATAGGAAAGAGCATCTTTTTATAAACATGTAATTGTATTTGAGCAGAATGATAGAGGGGAGACTTAGACACAGAGTCTGTATAACTACCAAATTTTGTTCTATTGCAATAGAGATGAATTCTTGTGCAGGTCACTACTTGGGTATGTAGCCCACGGGTAATTTGATCCGAGAAAGTGGGGGCGTCGGTACACTGCATATGGCGCCTGCCCTCGATAGTCGACTTAGCAACCGCATATCAGTACATCCTTTCAAGAGGACAGCCCCTTCTTCCAGACCTAAGCGGATCGTCGAATTTTCTCTGCTCCCTGTTCCGTCTTCAGATAACCCTAGTAACTTTAAACCGCCCTTGTCTATACCAACATGCGTTCCTCATCCCCCACTACAAGCGCTGGCGTCCTTCTGGCCTTTCTCCAACCTATCTCAACCGAAAGTGACGAAGCATCGGCGAACGAAAAAATCGATCTCCTGCCCACGGCCATAACAGCCAACGTACTAGGTATCAAGACCGCCAGGCAGTACAGAGCGGCAAATATAGAATACAAAAAGCGGCACCTTGTTATATGCGAGACAGAAGATTTGGCACGTGTCAACGTGAAGCAGATGCTGAAATTCCTGGAAGGAGAGAATATAGGTGGGAAGTGGGATATCAGGGCATATAGGGAGGTCGAGATCTTCGATCTGGAGAAGAGCAGTAGTACGTCCTTTCTGTGTCATAGCCGACCGGAAGATGAAGGAACTGTGAAGTATTGCCCTTTGCTGACTGTACGCATAGAAGCTGCGGAGACAATCATGGTAGCGCTTATGCAACCATCACCTGCCGGTGCCGCAGATTTAGACGCTTGGTATCGTGAAGAGCATAACCAACAGATGTCTGAGCAACCAAGCTGGCTAAGAACATGCCGGTATTCACTCGTATCACAACAAACCAGTACTTCCGGTGGAAGCGAAGGGTTCCAAGAGCTATCCTTCCTAGCTATCCATGAGTTCGGAGAGGGAGAACAGTTAGGCGATTCAGTCAAAGCGCTGGAGCCAATCAGCGAATGGACGATGAAGGTCATGAAAGATGCGGTGGGGATTGACGCGGCGATTTATCGGAGAACATGAATTGGTGGAAGGGTCTACCGTGAGATTTGTGGCAGTAGTCAGATTGATCCATAGTAAATCCACTGTTTACGAAAGCTTCCATCTTGTATTGCCGGAGTTTACGAGACTGCGAAAAACATGCACGGCCTCTATGCCGACCTTTGTAAGGTATAGTTGGAGATGCTCATGACGCCTGTATGTGTGCTTGCATTTGCGGGAAGCTCGTTGAATTTGGCTGGCAAAGACACCCGTAGTCTGCCCAAAAACGAACATGCTTGTGGATTTTGTTGCAAAGCTCAGTGGAAAGACAGAGAAGTGAAGAGTTTCCCTGATCTAATTGCGCCCTATTAGCAAGTCAGCTCATATCTGCGAAAACCATGGTCTTGTCCTTACTTGCACCGGCATAGTTGCTCCGGATTGCATCTTTATTAACTTATTTGAGCAAGAACCGTGGTCGTAGAGTGATACGCGCATCTTGTTTCGGTGAAAATGTGGAGGTTTAGATTTTGGCATCAGCTTTGAGTGAACTGAAGCTGGATGAAGGCGATGGGCGACCGTTATTGTTCAGGGTCCGGTGATATGTTCGACCATGCAGAAGAGTCTACATCGTCCTAGTAAAAATGACCTCAAGATCACCATACCCAAAATACAGTCGCAATCCTCTCACAGCCATATCAGGGCTCATCATAAGTAGCCCAAATATAGAAGTCTGTTGGATATGCACGCGTTGTAAAGAGGGCAACAGATGCCTATAGTTAGTGCTGGGTGGCGCACCTTGTTGGAGTCCTATAGCTAATCTTTTTGCAAGCCTTGGTTCTACTTTGATTGCTCTGATTTCACGGCAGATCTCTGGTCCGAGTTCGTATGCGGCCGCCATACAGTTATAGTAAAGTGTCAAGTCAAATACAACCAAATCGTTGAAACTGGGCGTCGCTTCTCCTCTGATGTGTCTACACGTCATCAGAAGAGAAACAACTTGCTGGTATCTCGGCACTCCGTGGTATTTAGGGAGATACGAGCCTCCAAGCGGATCAGTGGACTTCGGTTGCACATGTATAATCTCGTTGGCGAAGACGTGTTGGTAGATCATAAGACGAAGCTCGGCCGGCAAACGGAAGAACGGTGGCGTACGAGAATCATCTTGTTCACTTTCTGATGGTTAGACTAGTTCTCCTCGGAAATCTACACGGCAAACGTACTCTGTACTGATCTGATGATGGCCTTGTGTGGCGAGTTCCAAGCGACCCAAACTCTCAGCGACTTTATCGTCCATAGTGTCTTAATTATGGTAGGAGGAATTATTGTCTTTTATTTTTGAGGTAGATTCGTGGTAGTGGAGATTAAGGTATGCACTATGTAATGGAAGTTCGGATGACGGAAGGTGATGAGGGGATTCGGGGATAGATTAGCGCAATGTGGTATCTCCGGCGGCGCGTCCTAGATTTTCGGCGCGTCCTAACCTTCAACATCATTTTCTAACGTGAACCGCAACGCTAACTGCCACGCACTTTGTTTCGACCATCGCATGTGTCCGGTCGTTCGTAATGGGAAAGCCAAAGCGCACGAGCGAGGTATTTGCATCATCGGCCGAGAAAGATGCCAATATCACAACGGTGACTGCGACTCCGCCATACTCGAGCGAGGGACCTACACTTCCCATCATCGGGGTACTAGATGACGCGTTGAAAGCCGACGGAGCCAAAGTCGCAGGCAACAAGCGGAAAGCGCAAGAAAGTGTCAATGGTATAGCGCCCAAGAAACAATCGCAGCCACCATCTCCGCCCACAATCCACTCATCACTCTATGAGCCATGGACACGGCTGCCTTCCGAGCTACGTAAAATTCCTGAGGTTCAAAAGCGTATACGAATCGCACAGAACATCGTGCCAGTCGTCTTCTCCAAAAATCAGAACGTCAAGTCTGGGATCAACCGACTGAAGACATACTTAGGTGCCTACAGAGACACTGCGTCTACGATTGAGATGCCGGATGCATTAAGAGAGGACGACCTGGTTATAGCCGTTTCGGCGCAGGGCGAGGGCACAACGAAACTAGTAGGCATTGTGGACATGGTCCGACGGATTGTAGCGCCAAGTGGGACAGAGCATAACAAGAATGCGAAAGAGGTGTGGTGGATGTACACTATGCTTACTTGTGTGGATATCGATCGAGAAGTAAAGGAGTCGATACCAGCGGACGAGGATAATACAGACGCCGAGAGGACCCAGAGTACACAGGAGGAGGCTTTTGAGCCCACGAACCTTGACAGGCAGTACGCACGAAGGCCATCGACTGGAAATAGCACCGTGCAGAGGAGGACAGTCCCTGTGCTAACGGTTTGGATGACTAAGAAGCGGATACCCGTTTTCCAGACCGCCTTTAGGGAGCAGACTTTCACCGTGCAATTACTGCTCAAACACTCGAACTGAAGTACAAGTTTCCCACAAGTTTCCCAGATAGAAACCTGCGAAATTCACCTGGGCTGCGATTCGGCCATCACCGGGTCTCCAGATAACCTTAGCCCTATCTATCTAGAAAACCCCGATCTGCTTGTCTGTCCACTTCACCTTCTTTGGAACCATAGCAAATGGCAGACTCCACAGTCGGTTCGTCAAGCGCCAACTAAGACTCAACACTACAGTGCCTTTCCGAGTTGCTAATGGTTAGTAGCGCCATCCTACCATGCATGTTGTTCATCGCAACATGCAAATTAAAGGGAGCTAGGGTCGCATCATCATCAGGGAGGATACAGGGCGCGTTACCAGCTCAGCTTGTTAGAAGGGGCATATTTAGGAGACAAGCGAGTGCTGGATAGAAATTCTACTAATATTATAATGCCTATGGTTCGTCCCCTTCCTTCCTCTCTTTTTCCCCGCCCTGCCACGTCCCCCTTGTAAGGACATCCTCCCTGCGTCTGAGTATACAACCTCACATCCGCTAATATCCCCCAGTTTTGACTGTTCCAAATCCTAGACTGTATGTGTAGTGGCAAAGATTTCATAACTTAATTGGCTTTGTCAGAGCTGGAGACTCGTCAATTAGCAGGTGAGGAGCTGGCGGGTCATGGTAAACTGGCTTCCGGGTTCGACGACGTGGCTGGGAAGGAGACGAAAGATGGAGCACTGTGCGCAAAGTTGTTATGTGACGAGATGGCGCGATTTCACACTTGTCAATGATGTGAGTGCTCAACGGATAGCATGTTGAGGTCAAGGGAATGCGGCGTCAAGTGGCCGCAGCACAAGCCAGTAGAATGAAATTGATCCTGGGTGATCGCGTGTTTTTTTACAAATCCGGTCCAACTGGCTTTTTGATCTTTTGCAGAGTTAGGTGAAGTGATTTTTGACAAAAGGCGTTCTTATGATTAGCGGGCTATCACAAATGGAACAAGCCAAGACAGGGTGCGCAAGGTAAAGATTCATAACGAAAGATCCATCAAGGGCACTCTGTGACCTCAGCAACTGCCTGAACATCAACTCATGATTACTTAAATCAATTATAGTCCCAGTAAGAAACAAAGCATAGTAGATTAAACCTACGCATGACGCCCATATCTGCACTCTTTGCCCCACTAACCGTTTGCCCTCTCACATTGCCTCCACCGCCAAAGCCTCCTCGCCCATTAGTGAGTCATTACGTCTTAATATGTACCAGATCTTCCGCCTGTCATCTAAAAACAATGCCGCAATACTCCTGTGTCGGCAACACGTTCGAAGTGTCTGACATTTGAACTACGTAAAAGTTGTAATGGACAGAAGAAATACAGAAGCGAGGTCAAGAGGCCGCGCTACACGCCGGATTGCTACGACGTATCGGTGAATACCAGGTATGAAGACTTAACTTCGAGTGTGACGATTAGGTTGATTGGTTCTTGCAATGAGGAGTGAGGCTTGTGGTGGGTGGGCGAGGTTGAGTTAGGAGAGAGGGGAAGGGGGTGTTAATGGTTGATTGATAGAATTGAGGGCCGATTGAGCATACTAGAGGATGAACAGCGTGTATCTAGAGTTCGAGAAAGTAAAGCTATGTTTTGATCTCATTGTTCAGTACCACTACGCAGAGTTTGTTTGCTCACGACTGAATCGGAAACCATTGAGTAAACACTCTTTTCGGGTCGTATTTCTTTTTGAGCGTTTTCAGTCTCGCGAGACCGGTTCCATAGATGGCGGTGTTTGTCTCGTCCCCGAATGCAAAGTTTGCATACCTATAGAAAATTTATTAAGAGCACAGTATCATCGCAACGATGACGACTTACGTTGGATCATTTTTCGGATTGCTACTCCTTGTCCACAGTGCCCTAACCTTACTTCCAAATTCCAAAGCTTCAACATCGAGACTAGCATCATCATACCACGGTATAACGATTGCCTGTGAGAATGCGTCCCTCCTCAATGCCTCGTTCATGGCTGTTGAGTCGAGAGATGCGGACTTGGCTTTGGTCAGATTATAGCGCTCGACAAGCACAGCAGAATTTAGACCTTTCGCCTGAAAACCTTTGTAGAGCTCCCAGATCTCAGGCCACTTCTGTGCGCTCATTCCAGTGATAGTTGAGCTGTATGACGGCTTGCGACCACCACGGTTACAAAAGCCGATATTGGCATCGTTCCAGTGATCATATGTGGTAATTGCGCTGGATTGGGATACAGGCCCGATATCGTAAAAAGGGGCGAAGGCTGCGCGACCTGTTTCATTAGTCCCCTTCCGAAGAAAGCCGGTAACCAGAATGGAGGGCTCGTTAAGTGGCTCGCCACTGGAGGTTAGTACGAGGTACACTCGCTGTTGTGGCGTGAGGGGAAGGTCCTCCACCGCTTGCGCAACCTGTTCGAGCTTGTCGGGCGAAAATAAGAGGTTGTTGATGAATGCTGTACGATCTTCTTCGGTAGCGGGCATTGCCCTGACGGTCGCTGAAACCACGATTCCAAAGTTGGGACCTGCTCCTCGAAGTGCCCAGAACAATTCAGGGTGAGACGTAGAAGATACTGTGAGTATCTCGCCGGTAGCGATGACCACACGCATGGAGATAATGTTATCGACTCCAAAGCCGACCTCACCCATGAGGTTACCTTCTGTGAGTTAGCGCTGAGATGCTCGCAAGATGCACGTATTACACACCGTATCCGCCACCAAGCATAGCTCCCAGAGCGCCAACGCAGTTACAGTTGCCTGTAATAATCAAAGCACCGACAGCGTTGGCTGCTGCGACGGTTTCTCCAATGCTTGCACCGCCTCCAATAGTGGCGGTCGTCTTGTCTGCAGCGACAGTGACTTTGTTGAGATTAGATAGGTCGATCACAACGCCCCATTTTCCCAAACTGAAGGTCTTTCCCCATCCAATACCGCCATTCTGCGCAAGAAAAGGTATACCAATCTTTGTACAGTACTTGATCTTTTTCTCCGGTTAGCCCTCACTATCCGTTATTCAACCAGTCTGAGTGGGGCTGCACCTACTATTGTTGCTATGTCTTTTTCAGCCTGCACGCTGACGACAACCGCTGGCAAGGGCGCGTTGTAATCACTCCAGCGTGCTCGAATTTCGGCATTGACTGAAGATGGCGATGACACTAGGGTTTTCAGATCGCTTACGACGTCGGCCTGCCTTACTGCCAGCGCGGACACCGCCGCAGCAAAAGAAACCAAGAGTGACAAGACCTTCATGTCAATGATACCACATGCATGGCTGATGGTCCAACGGGCCCTTTAATTGACACTAAACTTTCTCGGCTACTCACAGAATGACATGAAATGTCGGGACCACCTGTTACCAGGTAACGTAAGGAATTTGCCGTCTCAGTACGAGAACCTAGTCACCAGATGGCCCTGTACCCCTTAGCACCTGCATGGTATAACTTAGCCGATCTAGGTGTGGTTGCCGAGCGATTATCTTGGACATGGATGATCTGCCGTGCCCGTTCACAGTCGACCCGGTTACCGCGGGCGTATCCACATTCGGTCGTGCGTCCTCCGATGACCCCATGCGAGCCGACCCCCATCCATCTCCGTAGATGGTTCGTCGCTCCAACGGTGCACGGTCACAAATATCAACGCATAATGTCCAAGAGGCCTTGTGAGCTAGTTCTCCCAAGCGGATGAGTTTGATTGTGGTCTTTCCAAAGTATCGCCATTTGCACGTAGGCTGGACCCAGCTTACGGCCAGCATCGAGAGATGCGGAAGGTGACATCGCCGTAGAAGCAGGGTCCCAGGAACGTGCTGTCGGTGGTATGCAATATATGTCTTCCCGAGTGACTTGGCGCTTGGCGGTGGCATGGATAGTACACCGGGAAACTTATCTTTCAGGAAAGACACCCCTCCAGCCGCTAATAATGTGTTATCATCTTGGGTAGCCTTTGAGGCTAATAGAAGAAAATATCCTGAGAACTAGGCCTAGCGAATCATTGTGAGAATCGGGCTTCGACATATTAACACTGGTGTGGAAACCTGGCCCTTACTAGGTCTCCAATTTGTTTCATCGGTAGCTTGCCGGATTGCCAGTCTTTTGATGCATTCCCAAAAAGTGCTCTTTCAGCCTAGTCTTTGGAGTGGTTGCTTATACCTGAGGCGCTCTGCAAGGCTCGTAATCCATCTAAGTAGCATCCCGTTGAAGACACGTTCGTGGTCGTTGTACCGGGAAACGTATCGTATTCTGATTCGATCTAATCTACGACTTCTGCTACTCATAAGGGAAGTAATGTGGAGTCTCGGTTTACGAGTCTACCTACATACGTCTCCGAATATCTGAGGTAAGACTTGCCGCCCATCCTAACTCTCTACACCCTGGTAACATCGTCCAATTTTTCTTTGAACGCTGCCTCAATCGGATCGAGTTGAGCACGCGTCGCAGTCATGCTCGCCATGAGGTAGATAACGTTACCTAATATGCGCGAATGAATCTGTACCTGTGATTCGGATACATCATGCAGTAGAGCGTCTCGAAGACCAACCGCTGCCGAAGAATTGTAACCTAGGCTATGTCAATTATAAATCATGGGAGAGATTGGTATGACATACCTGAACCACCTTCGTCGATTAATGATACTGCCAGGACAGAGCCCAGGGCGTTCACATGCTCGACTCTCTCGTGTTCTGAAACGCTTTCTACAAAGGATTTAGACCACATACTCCAGGTACACTCGTCTCTTCTCCTTTCCCTGGTTTTTGTGCTCAACCCTTGAAGTTTAGGTGACCATGGCAGCCTGAAATCATCCCACTGCTTGCTAGTGTGCAAACGTTTCATGGTTTCCAAGCTCCTGTTTGCAACATGGCATCCCACCGCATGAGCAGTATAACTATGTCCATGAAGGAGAGCTTCCGACTTCTCGTCGCCCCAGAAAGCTTGGAAGATGGAGTCGCTCGCGGCCGTGATCGAAAGCGGAAGTAGACCTCCCGTGAGTAACTTGGCATTTACGCTGATGTCAGGATGAACGCCGAGGAATGAGGCAGCCGAAAAACGACCTAGACGATACAACCCTGTGAACACCTCATCGAACATAATGGGGAGGCCAGACCAAGCGAGCGCGTCTTCAGTTTGAGGGTCTGTGGTCTTGGAGCCGTTTGCAAAATCGTAACGACGGACGACGCGCATCAGGCTTTGCTGAAAAAGTGGATCTACGAATAGCATACCCCCGGCTCCAAGAACCACGGGCTCTAAAACCAATGCGCCAAATTTTCTGCCCTGTTTTTTTACCAGCTCATCTAGCGTTCTTTCGATGTAGGCCTCATAGCGGGTTGCTGTGTCTCTAGCAGCAAGATCGAATATGTCATCCTGGCACCCAAAAAATTGGACTGGACCTAGCTCTTTCTCCATGCCCTTAGGGGGTTCAACTACCCATCGACCATTTTTGAGTTTGAATGTTGGATAGTCGAACCAGAAGCCGCGCCCACGATACCAGTCAACTTTCTCGTTGAAGACGCATGGCTCGGAAGCGTCCATGGCACCGATCGTGTCTCCGTGGTAACTGCCCTTGAGACCAATAATACCTATGGACTCTTTTGTGCTGTCCCAATCGTAACACTTGCTAGCAGCACGAAGGGCCATTTTGATACCAACCTCTGTCGCTGTACTGCCGTTATCAGTGTAGAATACTTTCCGCAGACGGCTTCCGTTTCCGTTGTTCCCATCCCAAAGGATACTCTCCGCTAGAGTGACAGCTGGTTGGTGTGTGGCCCCAGCGAACATGACATGACCATACCGCCCTGCTGCATATGCTGCTTCCAGCGCCAACCGGGGATTTCCGTGTCCGAGACCTTGTGTCCACCATGATGCTGAGCCGTCAAATGCAGGATATAGGATCTGATTCTCAACATGGGGCTCCTCATCGTTACCCCTGCGTTTGACCTGGAAATAGTCGCCATACGCAGAATCGATGGCCAAGATGTCTTCTGCGCTCTTTACATGTTTGTGCTGTGTGAACGGATGCCAGATCGCTTTCTCTGTTCTATATGGCATAGTCCCCGTATCGATGATTCTCCTTTGGTGGCGTTGATCCAGCCATTCGGAAACCGTATACATTGCCTTGCTATCACTTTGTGATGTGTAGTACTTTTGCATGATCTCCGTCTCTTCCTTTGTTCCTGGTCCAATACCTTGAAGATTTGGAATCCAGGGTAAGATTACAGTTGATATTCCCATATCCTTGAAATACTTCTGCAAGTACGGTGCGTTCTTATACTGACTTTGGTCGTCGAAACATATGACAGCGTCGATATCGTATCCTCGTATCTTCAAAGACTCTGCGGCTGATATGGTTGAGCCGATACCGCCTAACCGATGGTCGCCTACGAGCACCGAGGGAAGTCGCAGTGGTCGCAAAATATCCGCCTGCGGTGTACCCGAAGGTCCTGGACTGAGAACACCGCCAGCCGTCTCGATGATCGAGAAGCCTCTATACCCCCGCTCTAATGTGTTTGCTGCTTGTTGGACGGTCTTGAACACGGTTTGACTAATGAGCTCATCGCTAGGCTTGGACCGTCAACTAATGCTTGTAGAAGTGCAGTTATTGCAGCAAAACTCACAATGAGGTCTGATCCTCTTGCCGCAATATGCGGACTTACAGCTTTATCGAATTTGAAAAGTGTTGAAACATGTTGGCCGCTATACTTGTGCACATAGCTAATGAGCAGTCAGCCATATTGCAGACACTTGTCATGATTCATAACAGATATACTGACCTGTCATCGGCCTCATCAGCTGGACCAGTGGATACGGGCTTTATGTATTGTACTTTCAACTTCGCGTGCCTGCTTAAATGGGCACCCAGGAGCGTCGAAAATACCGTCTTACCCACTCCTGTGTTAGCGCCATAGATTTGGACAGCAACAATGTTCTTCCATAGGCCTCCTGGCACCTTCGCCATGTCTCTGTCACGTCCAGTTGGTGGTGAGTTGAGGAGTATGCTGTTGCTATCTGGCTGTAGCTGGCCAATGTGGGGAAAGCGCTAGCAGCGACGCGACTACGCCGAGGCTAAGCATGCAGGTACAAATGTAATGAGTCAATAACTGCATGGCCGCACGTCCGAAGGCACTGAGGGGTTGGCTTATGCAGCGTTTTAGCTAATGAGTATGTTTTTACTTTTGACAGGTCTCAACGACGCGGAAATCCGCGGCAGACCCCACGCTTACTTCCCGCTTTTCATTGATGCTACCACTCCATCCACGTAGTCAGCTCCACACCATCACCGACGGTCACGTTATCACTGTCCAGATTCCCTATTGCCATACTCCATCGGAAGACATGGGAGATGAAACGAGCCCAATGCTGTTGCAAAGCAAGTTACGAGACCTACTCGACCGTCGACGCACAAACTCAACACTCCGAAACTTAACTTTACCTGTTCTCGATCAGACCGACTTCTCCTCCAACGACTTCCTTTCGCTCTCAACTTCGCCAGAGCTCAAGTCATCGTACCTCCAGGAGCTACAAAGGACTAGTCTCCCATTAGGTAGCGGCGGGTCAAGACTCCTGGATGGCAACTCGATATATGCTGAACAACTAGAGCAAGAAATTGCATGCTTCCATGGAGCCGAGTCAGGATTGTTTTTCAACAGTGGGTTCGACGCAAATGCTGGTTTCTTTGCGAGCGTGCCACAGCCGGGAGATGTAATAGTTTACGACGAGCTTGTGCATGCAAGTGTGCATGACGGCATGAGATTATCACGAGCAGCCAAGGTGGTTGCCTTCGAACACAACTCTGTATCAGCCTTAAAGCAAGTCTTGCTAGGTCTTCTCACTGAGCAAGATGGTGTACGCGAAGGAAGATGCAATGTTTTTGTAGCATTGGAATCTATCTACAGCATGGACGGAGATGTGTGCCCCTTGAAGCAGATGGTCGAAGTAGTCGAAGAAGTCCTAGGTCACGAAAGGGGGTACATTGTTATGGACGAGGCGCATTCTACAGGTGTGTTGGGACCAGAGGGTAGGGGGTTGGTGTGTGAATTAGGGCTCGAAAAACGTATATTTGCAAGATTACACACCTTTGGGAAAGCCTTAGCAGCCAACGGAGGTAAACTTTTCCTTTCCACTAGCGAAGCACAGTACAAATGCTGACCACTCATACAGCGATCCTTCTGGGCTCGGAAACCCTTCGCCACTACTTGATCAACTACGCACGTCCACTAATCTATACAACATTCCTGTCCTATCCTTCGCTAGCCCTTATCCGCTCTTCATATCGGCTACTACGATCCGGGCAGAGTGTTGGTCTACAAGCTCATCTACAAAGTCTCACGCAGCATCTCTACACTAGTCTGAGTCGTCTCCAAAGACTCTCTGATATGGCTCATAGAGTCCTAACGATTCCAAGCGCATGTCCAAGATCGCCCATCTTTGCAGTGCAGCTAGCAAAACCAAAAGTATTGGCAAGCTTCCTGCAAAGTCACAGTATGATGGTTCGAGCTGTGGTACCACCGACAGTGCCAGTGGGTACTGCTAGGGTCAGAATCTGCTTACATGCCGGTAACACATTTGCGGATCTGGAGAGGCTTGTTGAACTCCTTGGAGAATGGTGTGAGAGTCAAGCAGCTGAGATGCTACAGGACAATACACTAGAGCCAGTTACGAGAGCCAAACTTTAGCTTTGAATAGGTGCACAAACGTTTCTACTTTGTAATGTTTATGTATTAGCCGTCTTGTGTAGACTACCATGGCCTTTAGGCAAGTGCCTGAACCGTTGCCTCCGCTTCAGCAGCAGCAACAACTGCCTCAGCCTCATCCTGTCCAGGAAGCTTGCGCCTCTCTCCAATCGTCTCATCTATCTTCATAGGCCTGAGTCCCCATCTACCAAACATGGCCTTGTCCTCTTCCCAACCATTGCAAGCAGTAGTCAGCATTTTTTCGCCAGTGAAGACAGCGTTGGCACCCGCTTGGAAACACATGATCTGTTTCTCCTCGCGCATCGTGTGGCGACCAGCTGCTAGTCTGATAATGGTTGTTGGCATGACTAGACGCGCAGTGGCGATGGTTCGCAGGATGGCGTCGAAGGAGATCGCCTCGGTCTCTCCAAGTGGAGTGCCTTTGATTGGAACCAGGGCGTTGACTGGAAAGGACTCAGGATGGGCGGGCAATGTCGCAACGGTGTGAATGAGTCCGACATGATCACGAGCCTTCTCCCCTAGACCAAGGATACCACCAGTGCATACGTGGATGCCAGCTTCCTGAACGTTCTTGATGGTGTTGAGTCGCTCATCGTACGTGCGAGTTGTGATGACACTTGGGTAGTGCTCTCGACTAGTATCAACATTATGATTGTATGCAGTCAGTCCAGCATCTTTGAGTTCCTTTGCTTGCGCAGCATCGACCATGCCCAAGGTAACACACGCCTCCATGCCCATGCCACGCACGCCCTTGATCATTTCCTTGATGTTCTTAAGATTCGTCTTGCGGCCTCGCATGTCTCTCCAGGCAGCGCCCATGCAGAATCTTGAGCTCCCATTCTCTTTAGCAATTCGCGCAGCTTCCAGGACGGAATCAACCGAAGATAGTTTTGTGGCTTTCAGACCGGTATCGTAACGGGATGACTGTGCACAGTAGGAGCAATCCTCGCTGCAACCTCCTGTTTTGATGTTGAATAGTGTGCACATCTGGATGGCTGCGGGGTCATGGAAGCGCCGGTGCACCGAAGCCTATAGCGAGATTGATAAGACAGTGACCCTCCAGATTGCCACAGAGTTGCTTGACATACCGATGCATATGTGAGATCTATCAGTGAAGTGTTGTAGACTTCGGAGATCTCCTCCTTTGTCCAGTTGGTCCTGGGGGCACTTGCATTGAGTGCATTCTCAAAGACGGAGCCTGCCCGGGCTACAGAGCGTAATTGCTGAGTTCCTGGGTCGACTGGGGTATCGAGAACAGTACTGAAGGGGCGGGTGATCTGCAGTGAGCGAGGAGTGAGCGCCAGGCCCCGGCTTGTACGAAGGAACACTCTTTGGGCCATTGCGAAGGTCTGCTGAAGCTCGACACGAGACGCTGGAATCACGTACAGTCAACGGGTGCTTCGAACTAGCTGGCCACGGTCTACGGGAAACGGCTCCAGGGCTTCAGGAACGCGTCGGCGTGCTTTGGTAGATCAGCGTGGGACTTCCGCCAATCAGATTTGAGATGATCAAGCGCGGGGTGCCGTAGCGCCTTTACAACTGTATAACCTTGCGAGACCGAGCGGTCCAGCCAAAAGCGCCGAGGTAATAATGTACAGCACTGGCGAGCATCACTGATGTCGCCTTTCCAAGGAGCCATTGGACTTCCCGATGTCTGCCCCAACAAAACAGACCTGCCAAATTAACATTCATCAATCATCTTCCCAAGACTGTCTGCTTGATATGATTCAGCGCACTTCCCGCTCTCAACCACCTCAATTGCCCCTCGCTGTAACTATGGTTGAGCGGCGCGACCCACTCTCCTGCATGCGCGCATTCTACGCGCATGCTAGCCTGCCTTCCCGGCCGTAGCTCGCCGTCTTCGACACCTTGTAGCGTAATACGATCGCCCAACTGAATACGATCGTAGTCTCGAGGGTTTGCAAATGTCAAAGGAAGCATGCCCTGCTTCTTGAGATTCGTCTCGTGTATCCTGGCAAACGAGCGTGCTATGATAGCCACACCGCCGAGGAAACGCGGCTCAAGGGCTGCGTGCTCGCGCGACGATCCTTCTCCATAGTTCTCATCGCCGACGATGCACCACTTTATTCCTCGATCACGTAGGTCTCGAGCGACTTCATGGATAAGACCGGCTTCTTTGGTCAGTGGATGGATGGTGTGGCCGAGCAACCGAGAGTCGGACGAGAGAAAGGCGTTCGAAGCTGCGAGAAGCATGTTGTGGCTAATATTCTCAAGATGGCCTCGGTACTTGTACCAAGGCCCTGCTGGAGATATGTGATCGGTCGTACACTTACCCTTGACTTTGGCCAGAATCGACATGCCTTTCGTACAGCCTGGAGACCACGATTCAAAAGGCTCGAGCAGTTTCAGGCGGTCGGATTGTGGGTCGATGTCCACGACCACATCGTCGGCGTCATGAACTGAAGCCTGGTAAAAGTCCTCGCCGACGGCGAATTGAGAAGGTAGCTCAACATCTATTGGCGCCGTAAATCGGAACCCTTCTGCAGACCCTTCAATTGGAAGGTAATCGGTAGTAGGGTTGAAATCCAATCTTCCAGAGTAGGCAAAGGCGGTGACCATTTCTGGAGAAGTCACGAACGAACAGGTCTCTGGATTTCCGTCGTGTCGACCGACAAAGTTGCGATTGAAGCTTGATACCACTGTGTTCCGCTCACGACCCTTGACGTCGACGTCCGTACGCTGCCATTGCCCGACACACGGGCCGCACGTACTGCTCAGCACAACAGCGCCTGCATCGCGTAATGTCTGTAGGATACCCTCCGATTCCGCAGTTGCACGTATATCTTCGCTACCCGGTGAGACCAAGAATGGCGTCTTCACATGCGGCAAACCAGCAGCCTTGGCTTGAATGACAAGCTGTGACGTTTTGTATAGATCTTCGTATGAACTGTTAGTACAGCTGCCTACCATAGCATGACTGACTTCGACAGGCCAGTCATTGTTTGCTACAGCATTCTTCAAATATGAAAGAGGATGCGAAAGGTCTGGTGTGAAGGGACCATTTATATGCGGCTCCAAGGAGTCTAGATCGATTTCAATGACAGCGTCGTAATGATCTTCTGAGCCCTCATCTGCTGTCAGCAGAACGTCCTTGTAGCTGTTTGCGAGACGCGCGATACTCCCACGCTTTGTCGCTGAAAGATATCGGTATGTAGCTTTGGTGTAAGGAAAGATGCAGGAAGTTGATCCAATCTCAGCTGACATGTTACAGACTGTTGCCATGGCTGTTGCGCCTAATGTCTCTGTGCCTGGGCCGAAGAACTCGAGGACTTTGCCTTTTCCGCCAGAGACGGAGAGGATACCCGCAAGTTTGCAGATGATATCCTTAGTCGAGGCCCATCCATGTAGACGGCCTGTAAGTCGTACGCCTACAACCTGTGGACACATGAGCTCCCAAGGCATACCAGCCATTGCATCGACTGCATCCGAACCTCCAACTCCGATGCCTAGCATACCCATGCCGCCAGCATTAGGCGTGTGGGAGTCTGTCCCGATGATCAGTCCACCAGGAAAAGCATAATTCTCAAAGATGGTAGTGTGGATGATGCCAGCTCCGGGTTTCCACCAACCGATACCATATTTCTTTGATGCGCTACTCAAGAAGGCGTAAACCTCTTGGTGCTCTTTTCGCCCACGAATAAGGTCATCTACAGCACCGTCGCGTGATACAATGAGGTGGTCGCTGTGTACTGTGGTGGGTATTTGTACTTTTGGAAGGCCTGCGCTGATGAATTGCAGCAACGCCATCGTCGCCGTTGCGTCATGACATGCGACTCTATCAGGTCGGAGATGCAATAACGTCTCTCCACGCCGGATTTCGTCCAAAGACCAGTGGTGCTCAGTCGAGACATACAGATGGCTGTAGAGTACCTTTTCCGCCAGAGTTAATGGGCGCTTCGAGCCATGCTTGATAGAGCCGAGCTGCAAAACCTGTCGGTCGTAGTCGAGTGGTGTGTCTATATCCAGAAGACTGATTGGTACCCGGGGTACATGTGTAGCCAGGCTCCTGACATGGCAAGTGGGGTGACGGCGGTGGAGGTATCTCCGCGTTGCGAGCTGAGTGATGAACATGAATTGGCAATAACTCAAAGATAGTACAAGTGATTATGCTTGTGTGAGCCATATTGGCAGCAGAGTATATCAGCGCAGGCCGGGAAGATGATCCTTATCACCGTAGTTCGGTCGGCCTTTGATACTAGCGCTAAGATGCCGGGACATTCGCAACCGAACGGCGCCGCCGGAGCTACAAATGACTCCAGCTCTGACATTTAGTTACACTCAACACCAAACTTTACCAACCATTGCGAATTCCTCTTTCGTACCACTGATATGACAGACTCCACATTCGCCAACAATTCATATTTCCTGCTTCCCAAAGATTAGTTTGACCGCCACCGCCAACGCGAATGGTATCCAACGTGAGCGCGTCCTCGGGAACGACAACGTCAATTTTATGGCTTGCGCCCGCGAACACGTAACCATTCTTGATTGCTCTGATACCAATGGAACAATATGAGATTGAGCTGTTCAGTAGCCTGTGATTAGTCAGGACGCTGCTTCGGACGGCATCGTAGATGAATAGCGCACGATTACCGAAGGGTTCTCTTGCCTAGTTTCTCGGAGACACCAGTATCGTGAAGATAAACCATGTAGATGGAGTGCTGTATGTTTGGACACGATACATCGGTTCCATTGTGCATGTGGTTACAAGTCAATTCTTTATGCGCAGCATCGCTATTCCGAATTACCGGCTTGAAATTCGAAAGCAATTCCCTCAAAAAAAATCCGCGTACGTGGTGCTCTTAGACAAGGAGGCAAGCGATCGGAGGCTCGGGCAAGCAGCATATATACTCGCAAAGAAAAATCGACATGGCCGTTGAGCATGCAAGGGGTATACACAAGCAAGCTGATGGTGCTCGGTCTCGCATGGCACCCTGCTTCCAATGCTATCATTAGCGTAGATGATGTTCTGTATACATGGCAGTCGTACTTCTCCGACAATGAAAGCACGACGTGGCTGTGTCTTGTAACACGAGCATCTCGCGAAAGCATTCACGTTGTCGCGTTGGCGTCGCGTTCAAGTGCACAAGCTAGTGAAGCAGATGCCCAGGTTCTAGAACGATGAACACGGCCGATGACGTAGTGTCCCTTCCGCCCACCAAACTTCAACATCCCTCATCAATATACACATGACAACACCTTCTGACCTTGGGCACCGAGCAGCTGTGCGCGCTTTCATCTCAAATCACCATGTTCTCGCCCTCAATATACACCGTCAGCATATTCCAGCTTGGACTCACCTCCGCCCTCAGCGCCTACGGCCTCTACCTCTCCTACCAAAACATAACCCGCCTACAGCAGTACGAAGAAAAGAGCCAAAAGGCTGCAGAATGGTCAAACACGGCTGCGCAAAGACTGCATAAGACCAGGTCAACACAGACTAGCGGCACTGTGACAGTATGCTTGAATCACCTTCGACCGCCCCCAGATAGTACTAACACGACAACTCTAGCTACTACTTAGTTTCCTTACATCCACCGCCCTCGTCATAATCCCCAGCCTTGCAACCACGAAATTACTCATCTGCGCTGGCGTTGCAAATGCTGCAGCTGCATATCTCTCCCGTGTACATATGGCAAACTTCTGGAACGACAAAAACCAGACCAAAATCCCGTTTGTCGAAAAATTCAATGAAGCGATACGAGGAAGCGAGCTCGTGGTACTGCTACTCGGTACGTTGAGTTTGGCATGGGCGGTTGCAGGAGGAGTATGGACGGGTATGGCTAATGGCGGATCGGGAATACTGGGTCTGGGCGTTTGGGGATTGGTTGTTGGTGGAAGAGTCATGTCTATTGCGCCGCAAATGGGATGGACGAGTAGTGCGTAGTATCAGAAGGTGAAGCAGATCGACGATCCATCGTAATTTCATTTGATCGTTTGGGTATCCAAAACATTACATCAAGATTTACTCATATGTTCCATCTCGCTCATCTCGCGAACTAGTCTTACGCTATCCGCTTCCCTGACCCAGTCTTCAATCCTTGCACCAACATCCCCGACGAGCTTCTCATACGTCTCGTTGATGAAGAAAAGTGAAGTATGAGCTGTTACCTCGTCCATGTTCTCCATGAACACTCGTATCCATGTAGGGTCTTTGTTTCCATCCGCATCTTTGGGTGGCAGCATGCAGAACTTCTTAAGCTTCTTGGGTTTGGCAGGCGCACTTTCCTCCGACCCAGTCTTCTTTCGGTGACTGTTTTGGCTGTCCATGGTAGAAAGGGTATATGAAGAATCAGTGCGGTCGTCTGGCGATTCTTGGCTCATGATTCCGCTACGAGAGAATTCGTAGTGACTATACGGGCCCTGATGACTGTGCTGAGCCGTCTCATCGCCTCCAAGTTCCATGGCGCCAACATCCTCCTCCAGTTCGATCATCGCAGGTGTTGGTGCAGGTGCAGACTCAGCTGTGTCTTCTAAGGGTATCTTTCCATCACGCAAGTCTGCATCTCTTTGTCTCTGTCGGGCCTCCTCCTCCCTCTGCTCTGCTTCTGCTTGTCTCTGTTCTCTTTCTTTTTGCCGCTGTCTGTCCTCTCTTGACATATTGTTTGCCTCCTCTTCCTTTTTCCGCTTGTCTTTCTCCTTCTCTTCCCTTGCCTTGTCCTGCTCTTCTTGCCTCTTTCTCTGCTCTTTTTCCCGTTCCTTCCTCTCTTTCGCTTTGTCCTTTTCCCATTTCTCCTCCATCTTAGTCCGTTCGTTTATGGTCTTGTTACGCATCTTCACAGCCTTCTGGTACACTTTGAGTGCCTGATCGTGCTCTTTCTCTGCCGCTTTGCGCTGAGTCTTGTCGGAGAATTGCATCAAATCCACGAATGGTGGCTCCTGTGGAATAGGCGGGATCTCTGGTAAGTTTGGTGCACCTGCGCTTTCGTGGGTTGGTCCTCCAAAGGCTTGAGGTCCAATTGGGCTAGTGGCTGTAAGTGGCTCTTCAGGGCTTACAGGTACAATGCCGTCCTCTCGATGCTCGTGGACTTGGATGGATAACTTGGGGCTGTCTTCGATGGGTTCAGGATGTACATGAGTCATCTCTGGTTCTGATGATGTAACTGATACACTTCTAGATGTCTCTTGGTACTCTGATCGAGGTTGTAATGGCCGCGATGGCTCGCTTGAGGCGCTTTTGTTGCTGTCCTGATACTGTAGTTGCTGGCTAGGAGACCGAGATGGAGATGGTGACTTTGGAGATTTCGGCTTCTTGGGTCTCCCAGTACTTGCAGTATAGTAGTTGACGAAGCGTACACGAGGTACTGTACGAGCTTGGGGATTACCAGATCTCCTTTTGCTTTCGTCGTCTTCCTCTAGTGCGCGCACCTTCACATATCTGTCCTTCAATTCCTTATAGTCGGCCATTGCACTGCCAAACTCGAAATGAGACTTGACAAGGCCCTTGGTAGCTTCCTTCAAACCGTCTTTGTAGTGCTTGGTGAGCCAATGTAGGCTGTTTTCCCAGCCTTTTCTATTCGCCAAGTGCACATCATTTGGGAAAGCCGGATTGTAATTAGGATCTGTCGGCTTGGGGTTAAAGATGGTGCTAATCCTGCTGGGCTTCTTTCCGACATCTGCATCCTGCACGATTGCGTCTTGCGGCTTTGGCGGTGCACTAAAAATGCTCCCTAGCCCGGCCTTGATGATTCCAGGGTGCATACCTAGGAACGGAACATCGAAATTCACGATACCAATGATGCGATGTCGAAACACCAATGCAATGTCGGCAGCGAGCAAACCACCCATGGAATGACCGAGTAAGATAACGTCGGTCCACTGGTCTTCGTGTGGGGCTAGCCTGACAACTGTCAGTCACGAGCATATTTACAAGTAGGGCAACCGAACCATGACGAGAAATTGTCTCTTGCGATTTCGAGTGAGTCTCTGGACTTGTATCTGGGGTAGATCTTGGTATGAACTACATGAGATTCGGCAAGTGTGATGGTGACAAGATTATGGACGTGAGCTGGGAAGCTTCGGAAACTTGTTTCGTTGCCCATGAAGCCATGGATGAAAACCAGCATTAGGCGCCGTCGCCCTGAGTCGCCCTGGGTAAGATCAGGGACAAGCGACTGTGTTGAAGAAGAGCGCGGATCTTGCGAAGTCATGCCCATGACGGTGTATGGCGGAGGCGCGTCACTTGTCGAAGAGTCTCGTGGAGGAAGAGGTGGTGGGCGTTTTGACGCTGCCTGATTTTGGGGCGACGTCATTATTGAGCGTGACTGTGTCTGTTACTGGATTGGCGACAAGCATGAGAACAGTCACAGATGCAATACAATCGTCGATGGCTTGAGAAATGGGAAAGTATTTGCACAGCTTGGTAGGACGTTCGGTCTGGAGGGGCAATTATGTGGGGTAAACGCGACAACTTACAGGATACGCAAGGCCGTATCGATACGGCAGACGTCGTATCCGCTCGCCACCCAACGTATTCACAATCACGTATGCACAGCAGGTAGACACGGCGATGTAATGTTTAGAAATCGGACCCAGCCTTGCGCAATTGACGTGATGCATTACAGCCAGAGCGGAAGCGTGCGCACCCCGATGCAGTGTTGGGACATGCGGCAGTCGCAGTTGAGCGCGTGGAATCTAATGAAGGCAGGCCCACAGTGTGTTTGAAACATGTGAAGACAAAGAGGTGAGAAGTAGCGACGGAATCGTGGTGGCTCTTCGCCGACGATTGTCTTGGCATGCAAACAATTCCTATGTTCGTGTTTCGAGGTTGCGCCCGTGTTAGGCTGGCCATGGGAACGTCTGTCTTAAGCTGCATGACTCGAGCATATAGCGGTTGATCGCCGAGACTGAGACTGAGACTGAGACTGAGGCAGTAAGGCCTCTTTTTAAGGTTTGTTATGGTCAATGACCCTATATGGCAAACAGTCACGCCCGGATCACGACATCGGACAGGCATGGATGTGCTCGTCAGTTGTTGGGTGGCGTTGATGCGCTGTTTGTTGGTGAGGCGGATTGGTCAGGGGGACGGGGGAGTTTAGATGCTAACAATGGCGCGTTGGAGAGATGAAGCTCGTGATGTTGGTGGTGAAGTGTAAAGGCGACCCTGGCGAGCAATAGCACTACGAGAGCTTGGCAATACGCCAGAGAGAGCGACGGCAGATTGCAGCAAGCGACGGGCCCAAAGCGTGTAGCGCGACTCGAGGGTGCTTGTGCGACAATGGCAGGTGCGACAATAGAAAGGCGGCAACTAAGAATAACAGACTTCGCAGCGTGGGCCATGGACCTGCGTACCGGCGTTCCAGAATCCGGTACCTGAAAGTTGGCCCATGGTTGGCGTGGCGCCACTGCAGGTGCAAGCGGGACGGCTGACTAGCAAGCCCTTCTCTACCATGGTACGCCAATTCTCCGACGTCGATACTGCCGAAGAACGAAGCAGCACGACGTTGCGGGCGGCGCACACATGTCGATGCGCTGAAGAGATTGCCGTTCGTCACCAGTCGTCATGTCGTGGACGTGTGCGTGTTGGCGAGGGCGTCCCATCGCATCGTGCACCGGTGGGTCCTGCTATTCCTGGACATATCATCTCGGTTGCGGGCCAATCAGTCCCACGGGGTCTGTGCCAACGGCCTACAGACCCCAAACGGTTTCTCGTCTCCTCAGCCTGTCTCGCTGCGCTGTAGCGTTCTGCTCCTTCTCTCCCACGACGATTCCGCTGCGACGTCGCCAATTCACGGACCCAGCGCTACTCCGGCCAAAGGGACCTCCAGGACCACAGCGACGCCCGCTACTCCCGCAGTCTTTGGAGCCGCCGTCGCGCGACATCGACACCACGTCTGGTCCCACTCCTACCCCGTTGCACCGCGCACACCACCCTCTCTCCGACACACGACGCTAGAAATTCCCTCCGCCGACTTCCCCATAACCAGCCCGCCCGCCCGCTCCAAACGCGCGACCATCGCGAAGCAAATGCTGGCCTATTGATCGCCTTCCGGTACGTATCCTCTGCCATTCACCCCTCGTGACATGTGAGTGCTGATCGTTGCCCGTCCAGACCAGCCCTCAGTCAGTCACCTGGCGTCCATTCTTTTCCACTCATTCACTCGCTGCCCCCAAACAACTACTACTCCATTGACTGGACCCCTGCATTGGCTGAAGCCCATACGTCCGCTCATTTGCTCCTACCGTCTCTACAACACATGTTCCGTGAACCCGTCCAAGTCGCCACCGATACTCTGGAAGCATCACCACCACCACCACCCCCCACTTGGCCAGGCTTCCGTCTCTAGACCTTTATGGACCCCGTCGCCACGCCCACCAGGATATCCAGAGTCGATTCGCGCTTCCGTCACCGAGCGCAAATCGTCCCCCCACCCCAGGAACGTGCGCCAGAATCCGCAGAGAAAGAGGAGGAATCAACCAAGGAGCATTTTGTCCCCGAACCGAGAGCCAGAGACAGCATGAGCAGGGGTCATCGCTTCTTTCACCGCCGCGCAGCGCTAGGAAACACAAAGACAGTCGCCGTCGCCGTCGAAGTAGTTGCCACTGTTGATACCAACGGAAACCTCGTCGCTCAGGAGACTCTGGCGCCTGTCACACCTCCGGCCTCAAATGGACCCACAGCGCCAATCGCCGCAGCCGTTGCTGCAACTTCAGCCGGACCAAACCCCTCAGTAGCTCCTGCAGCCCAGCAGCCGCTTCCCTCCGCCCCTTTACCCGGTGTACCAGCAGTGCCAGCAGTACCTACAGTTGCACTCCCTGTGCTACCATCCGTTCCAGCTGTCCCACCATTCCCCAGTGACCTTGCTGTCCCAACCGTCCCTGCGTATCCATACTCTACAGGCATTCCCGTCGCCCAAGTCGCCGTCAGCTCCGACTTGGCCAGCGCATCCCCCATTCCAACAGGTGGCCCAGAAAGCACTGCGACTCCATCTCCAGCCCCAGATGCCGCACCGCTTTCAGACATCAGTTTCATCTTGAACTCGACTATATCCAGTAAGTTAGACGGCGCTGTCAATACCATCTTATCTGACGTTCCATAGACACCGCTTCCTTGTTACCATCTTCCTCCCTCGCTTCCCTCGACAGCATTTCTGCGTCAACGTCGACTGAACTCATTGCAAGTATAGCGGCAGTTCCAACTCGCTCGCCATCTGCATCCACATCTTTGTCAGCATCAGCATCAACATCACAATCCCGCATCTCATCTAGCAGAGCATCATCTGCTCAGACATCAGCAGAAACGTCTGTTGTTCGCAGCACGGATATCGTCTCTAATGCAGCCTCAACAACAGCATACTATGGAGGTGCCGGTGGGGATGCGTCTGGAACGGCGTTTGCCCCTGCTGCCACCACAGCAGCCACCTCTAACGCGGATGCTGACACCAGTCCTTCTCCACTCGAGACTCCGCAAGTAGTCGGAAGTGTCGTAGGCAGTCTTGCCGGCGCCGCGCTCATCCTTGCTATAATATTGCTGCTTCTGCGACGTCACAAGCGCAAACAGGGTGGTGCTCTACAACTTACTGGTGACGATCACACCGACAACAACCAGTCAATGAGACAAGCACCTACTACAAGCAGCACTTTGGTTCCTGTCGCCTTTTTGAACCGATTCTCCGCCATGTCGGGCAAGACAGCAGAAACCAACCTTAGTGGTGGCGAGCGGAGCTTCCAGAGGGTGTCGGGTCGCAAACTCCCGTCCGCGTTCAGTGAAGGCATGACATCAGATCAGTTCTCTCAAGGCGGGACAATGTCTGGTTCTTCCTTCTACCAGGACGAACACGGTATCTATGGCGGCCCGAGCATCTCCAAAGAGTTCGGCAAAGAGATTGGCGACAACTCGACAAGTCGAGAGTCGGGACAGATGAACATTCGGCCCAGCCCAGCCAGGACACCAGTCATACGGCATCCTGACGATGGCAACCCCTTCGCAGACCGCCACTATCTCAGCCCGCCACAATCTCCCAATCCAGATGTCCCACCTCGAGGCACTCTTGGTAGAAGTCTGCCCTCGGCAGATGGATCCAGGTCATCTCGGTTTACGGAGAACGTTTGAATGATTCCTTAGTCCTTTGTTGCCTTCTTACTCTCGCTCAGCATTTTCTTTACCTCACGACACGCATGAACGTGCGTACTACTCATCTCGCATTGCATCTGCCATCTCGCATCTCTCGTCGGTCTTGTCTTGTATACCCCAGGACCCGCTCGACACGTTCCACAACTCACCACATACTGTCCTTAATTCGGCCGCACTCTGGCGGCCCAGAACTAATGTCTTGTCGGTTTCCTCTACTGTTGCTGTTGTTGTTGTTTTGTCTTTGTCATACCAGTTCCATTCCTCACGATACTGCCGGATCAGAGCGGTGCCTAGTTTCATACCCCCGGTTTGATCTGATGGAGAAGTCCTCAGGTCTCGACCGTTTGTTTATATCGGCTTTATGGTCCGTGTATATATTCTAAGCTGCGCTTCCTAGAGGCCAGCCTTGTGCATATGGTCGCCATGTTCGTCATGTATTTTGGGGGCGCGTAAAGGAATTGGGACTAGAAGTCTCGGTGGAGTTCATAATGGTCTCTGCCAATGCTCAAAAGTTCAGTCTTACAAAACTACAGACTACATTTGCACGCGCCACGATGAAATAGTGATGCGAGGTACTTTGCTTCTATTTTCAGCATACACGTAGTATTTGATCCGCGCCAATCAAGTAAAGTCTGCCTGATGCATTTCCAGTCAGCATGGTTGATTGTTCGTCCCAGACCATTCAACTGTTCTGCATCATCTTGGAGGACTGATGATAGGGTAGCTCGATTCTCTAATGTCAGCGTTCTCGGGTCATTGGCCGCGCTCAGCCTCACCCGTGCTTGCCTAACCATAAGCACTGCCCCACGATCATCGGATGCACTTGCTAGTGTCACGTAAGGCTACCTCTACCGAAATGATTAAAGGCTCACGCTCTCCCATGTCATGCCTAATCCTACTACTATCTCATCCTTTCGTACCTAGCTTCGTATCTGACTGTCTTCTTCTCATTAGGCAAACATCAACATCAATACCATCATCAGACAAACACCATCACTACCATGTCCTCCCTCGCCCCAGCACCCCAACCCATCGGCGTGTTCCCCCAGTTCCTTGCCGCAGGCCCAGAAACACTCGTCCTCAAAGAAAAAGTCATCTCGCTCAGCGGCGACAGTTTCAGCATCAAGCTCGCGAATGGCACGCCAGTCCTCCAAGTCGAAGGAAAGGTCATGAGTCTGACTGGTCGTAAAAAGATGTTCGATATGCAAGGAAACCACCTGTGTAGTATCGTGAAGGAGCACTTCCATCTCCATTCCACGTATGTAGTGGAGAGTGCGAAAGGGGATAAGATTATGGAGGTCAAGAGTAGTTTTAAACGTAAGTCATGGCATCTGATTTGGACAGAGCGAGGAAAGAGAGGGAGAAGGATGATAGGAAGGGTATTGGTCATGGAGGTGGACGTAACTGACTGGTGCTAGTACTCGGATCCAAAGCGACAGCGACATTCACTTCCTCGAATGGGAAACAAGAAGTTCTCACCATGCGCGGCAACTTCTTCGATACTCAGGCTGATATTCTAGATGAAGCACAAGGCGGTACGTGTCTCCCTTCTCACCCTCTCCTCGCCATTTGAACGACAAAAGTTGTCGTAGCAGGACAGGATGCTGAGTATGATTAGGTCTGGTAGTCGCCCGTATCGACCGCAAGATTCTTAGCGGCAAAGACATATTCTTCGGCCAACAAACTTACGGTGTGCAAATAGCACCAGGAGTAGACATGGCTCTCATTGCTGCACTGTGCATCTGTCTTGATGAGAAGAACAACGAGGGCTAGAAGAACTCGCGAAGAAGGAAGAAGGTGCCGCTTGTCATGTCTTTGACGAACAAGGCGACTAAAGGGAGGAGTAAGACATGGATGGATGCAGCGACCAAAGGAAGGAGTGGGAGCTGGTTTGAGAGGGTAGAGGGCGTGGGTATGAGGAGAGGCACTTGGTGAGGAGATTGTTGTGTTGCTTAATTTATATACCCTTGGCGCTGAACGTATCATGACACTCTTCTGTCTGCTTTTTTATCTACCTCCGGCTGGCGTTGATGCGCAGGAACCAGTGCTTAGTTGTTCAAGGACTAGATACAAATCACCAAATAAGGAGGAAAAGTGAAGTATATGATCATTGTATTAAAGAGCGTCGTTCAATGCTCGCTCGTCTCCATCCGGACGTCTATGCACAACACCTATGACCCAACCCAAAAAGAACATGACAAAAGGGAAATCTAGTTGCTGAAAGTACAATAGAAACGTGGCAAGAGGCACGGCCCACAAGATATATGCTAATAATGCAGTTTACCATGAAACAAAACGACGGAAGAAGGTAGCGAAATATGGGGAATGAATAAAAAGCTACGCATGGGAGATGACAAGAACGCCTGCTGATGAATGCTATGCTTTACGCCAGAAAACAGCAAACCTGTTCTTCGACAACAAAACTTTTTGACCTCGAAAGTATTATCGCAAGTTCACGTCTGCTTCCATTACTTCTCCCAAGCCTTCCGCGGAGGGGTATATATGCCACCTTGCTGGGTATATGGCTGAGGTGGGAGGAGCTGCTTCAAGGATACGGCGGCAAAGTCATCGAAGACCATGTAGCTCAGGAACGGGCTGGATCGTATTATGGTCGGTCCAGCTACTATGTGCAATTACTTCGACCCGGCGAGCAATTCAGATCCTGGTACGTTGTGGCCAAAGTCCAAGATCAAGGTCCTACCATCCTGACTCGTAGCGACAACGCGTCTGTAATCGCTCTTGGCCGAGAGAATCCAGCTCGTGGTCCAATTCTTGTACACAGCGTATGTTTGTCCAGTCTCGTAATCGGAAACTTGTATACTCTGATCGTACGAACCAGAAACGATGCGACCGTTGAAAGCGTCGAGGAAAAGAGATCGTACAAGGCCGTCATGCTTGACCCGGCTGTGGACTAACTCGCCAGTGGAGGCATCGAACTTGTAAACGACGTGGTCGTTACCTCCAGCGAGAACGTACTTGGCATCATCAGAGAATTCAACAGCTGCGAGACCACGATCTTCGGACGGAAAATCTTTGATGGAAACACCCGTTTCAAGATTCCACAACTTGGCTACACCGTCGCCACTAGCAGAAACAAGAAAGTTGCCACGTAGCTGAACGGCATTGACAGGTCCTCGATGACCCTTGAGTGTGCGAACGCAGTTGCCTGTCTTACGGTCCCAGACCTTGATCATGGCGTCCTTGGAGCAGGAAATAATGTACTTGTCATCAAGGCAGACGTCTAGCACACCAGCCTCATGGCCACGGAGCCGGTACATGGGAACGTATTCTTCGCCAGTAATGTCCCAAACGATGCAGGTGTAGTCTGAAGATCCCGTCACCATGATTTCGCTGTCGTACTGTAAACACAAAATAGAGGCATCGTGGTAATCGGCGGGAACAGTGTATATTTCATTGCCAGTCTTGGTGCCATTGAGCGAGGCATGGCTGATGACGCGTTCAGGTCGCTCCTCCATAGGTGGCGGTGTATTGGCGGTTGGACGGTGGTTGGGACCGCCGTATACTCTGATGCACTTGTAGGTTTTCAGATCCCACACACGAATGGTTCGGTCACGCGAGCCGGTAATGGCCTTGTTCTCGTCGAATTGGCAGCAGTAGACGCTGTCTGTGTGGCCGTTGAGGTAGATGGCAGCAGGTGTTCCGGCCTTCCATCGGCTGTCGATTGTGCTTCTCGCTCTGAACATCTGTTTCCAGTCTTGGGCAGGCGCTGGGTTGCCACCCGCCATCTTGCCAGTACCCAAGCCGCCCATCTGTATCGGCGCAGGGGAGACGTGTACTTCGGGTTCGTGTTTGCGCAGGAAAACGTTTCGCCATACGTGCGGCGATGATGCGTGTTCGTTCCAGCTGCGAGAGACGCGCTCGGCACGTACAAGGGACGCGGCATCGAGGTTTGAAAGCACAGTGGTAGCAAGCTCGGCAGGCAGACGCTGGAAAGGATCAACTGTAACACGATTAGTGTGGCTCCACTGAGGACTAACAAGCCAACTCACTCATCTTCTTTTCGGTAACACTATCGGCGCGGACAATGGGGGAAGCACATGTCATGTCCACACCGCTCTCGTTATCCTTGATGTCGTCATCACGCATTGAGGTGGTGATGAGGCCATTGAGGAAGCGGTGGGTGTGTTCTTGCTCGCGCCGTATTTGGTTCTGGCGGTCCTGGTTGGCGGCGGCAGCTGCTTGTCGGGCGGCGGCGCCGGGCACGGATTGGCTGGGGTAGGAGATGGGCGGAGATGAGAAAAGAGCCTTGGTAACGTCTGTGGATGGCCCGGAAGCTGTGGGGCGACGGCGCATGCTACTCAGTCGCTTGAAGGGAGCGAAGGCCTTTGAGCTCGTGCTTTGTGGTTGCAGCTGGAAAGTGGGAATGCCAGAGTCTTGGTGTTGCAGGGGCATCCGTTGTTGTGGTTGCTGTGGTTCCATGGTAGACTTGTGGCTAGCGCTGGCAGAGGGTAGAGACTCGAACAAAGAATGTATGGAACCCCGACGACGCTGTGCGGGTGTTGCTGAAGACACGGACGACATGCGCCGGCGCGTCTTCTGGCGAGTAAAACTACCGGCGACTGCACCAAACGCGCGGGAGAAGGAGCTGGCCTGTGAATGCTGCGAGAGGCCGTCGGCGGCCATGGTGGCTTCATTGACGGCGTCCAACATGTTGGTGTCCTTGATGTCCTGCTGGTAGTGGGTAGGGAATGTCTGCGAGATGGTCCGCTTCATCGTGTGCGGCGGCGGAACGGCGGTGGTGTATGTGGTGTCGTCGTCAACGTCGGAAGAGGTCTTGGGTCGGTGCGACAGGACAGACTGCCTGCGATACATGCTCCCAGGGATGCTGACGGCTAAGCCCTGCGTGTTACGGTGAAGGGCACGGGGGGTCGACTAAGAGAGCGTGTGCGAAGCAAAGGGAGAGTGAAGGGTGGACGGCAGCGGAAAGCAGGGGTACGGAAAGGTCGAAAAGGCGAGGTTTATAGCATGAGGATTAGTACGTAGGAGAAAGGGAAAACAGAGCTTGTTAACAACGCCAGACGACGTGCCACACACTAGGCCAGGAGACTCAGCCGATCTCAAGCCGGTTCGAGTGCCTCCCGAACGTGGTCTGTTCACCAAAGCAACTCCAGACGGGACCCACCCCTTGCAAATTACGACTTATCTTATCATGCCAGCACTACACACACCGTCGACCTTTTGCTACGTATGAGAGTACCGCTCAACCACTTGCTGCTGCATCCGGCTTCTCCGCTGCCCTGCCACTATACTGCCTCCTGCGTCTCTTGTGCTACACCGCTCCCACGGTACGCCGTAGTCGCTGAGCGGTACACCATCTTGAATCGCGCTGAGCACACAACCCAGACCACGCGAAACGAGCCAAACCATCGCCCAAACACCATGCCATCAACCGCTCCACCCGCGCCAGCAATCCCCAGCGTCTATCGCTTCGTCTTTTGCTGGCTCGAGCCCGTCTCCATCCTCACAGGCGCCATCTATGCACACTTCTTCCAGTCCACCTACCTGCACTTGACGCATGCAGCCAGCTCACCGGGCGTCTCGCTTCCCATCTCAACATCCATAGTCATGTCACAGTTAGCGAATTTGTACCTAGGACTTGCTTTTTTGGAAGCCTCGGTCTTGCGCGCCACTCCAGACATCAAAGTCTGGAAGACCTTCTTGGTCGGCTTACTTGTCGCCGACCTAGGACATTTGCTCACTGTCCTGCCCCTCGGAACCCACATCTACTGGGCCTTTTGGCGGTGGAACGCCATTGATCTGGGGAACGTCCCGTTCGTTTATTTCCTAGCCGTGACGCGCATCTGCATGCTCCTTGGCGTTGGCTTCCAGAAGGAAGGTGTGAGCTCAAGATCGAAGATGACATGAAGGCGCATTGACAAATCCCGTCTACCATGATACAAATGAAATCTTACTACATGCATCTGTTTTTTCTGGTAATCGACTGAATTCGTTGTCATGCTTCGTGGCAAGCCTTCCAGTCATCGTCTCGAACATCGCAATCTCTAATCTCCACAAGTACGCCCATCACAAACAACCCAATTCCTGCCCGACATGGTTCGCCAATCCCAATTCATCCCTAGCTAGGCAGTCCAACCGAGCAAATCGCAGTCCTCTTTACCCCAGACCCACAACATAGACCCTGTCCATCACGTTGCGCATACCCATTCACCCGTCATCTCACCGACCGATGGGGCTCTCACCGCCCCCAAATCTCTTCAAAACCTTCACCACTCGGAACCATTCCGAGCCCCAAGCTGATCGCAACCTTGCAACCAGCAGCCACTGTCCACTGCAAATAGCAGCTTATCCGCGGTACCACCAACATGCATTACTTACGCCCTCTTTAACCACCATGGAAAAAGAAATCCCAAATTCTGCCTCGCAGTCTTTGTCCAACTTGCCCAGTCCAACAAAGCGCCGACACATCTCCATGCCATCCAGAGAATACCCATCGCGTGGCATGCCCGCAAAATGCACGCCATGCAGCATGCCGAGAATAGCAACTGCTCCTGCCTTCGCCACGCCTGCTCAGCCTCTTGCCCTGCATAACCGCCATCGCAAGCCAACACCAGGCAGGGCAATGGAAGCGGGAGTCCCGGAGGCGAGGTGCGCAAACGTCATAACGCCCTAGAATTTTTTTCCTTTCTTCTTTCACTTTCGCATCATACTCGGCCTTGTCCGCACATCTTTACCTGCATCATGTTGGGAGAGGCAAAAGAGGAAATAATTGTTGTTGGGAATCCGAATCTCACTCCATCTTTTCGCCGAAACACTAATGTTCAGTACCATGGATACAGGCGCTGCCAGCTGCAAATCCATGACACGCGCCTTGCATCATGTCATGTCAGAATTAAACGTTATTCTTTACGTTGCCGTATCCATGTTGGTACCATGGTTCGCACTGTGGAAAGGGGGTCTTCGCCGACTTGCCCATCTCGGCCTCGTCCGCTGGCCGTCATACGTACCGGTGCCAGGTGTTCGGCGGCATCATGTCTAAAGCGAGATGTGCGGAGAAAGGGTGCAATAAGCCCCGTGTCCACGATGCAGACTCGCTAATCGTACCGTGGTACATGTGTATCCAGACGAGTCTCTGACAACATATTTGTACAAGATCCATGGGAACGGCGCTTCTCTTAGCGTGGTGCATCAAGTCACAGCTCCCCGCATCGTCGGGAAATGAACAAGGACATCACTTTTGCAGAAAGCCTGGCTTTATATCACGATCAAACAGATAATGTGTATCGCGAAATTGACGACTAAATAGAATTCCAGATACTACTTTCCCTGCACCACAAAAACCGGAAGTGACAGGAAGACGGGGTATAATATCCACAAACCATGCCAAATACAAGACCAAGTTACAAAATTCTCCTCAAATGCTGTATACACTCCCATTTTTCCCATTGCAGCATAGAAAGCGCCATGAGCCCACATCACCAACTAAGCTTTGCTCATACATATGTGATAGGCCGTAATCAATCCCGAACACCATGCAAGTACAGATAATATAAACCAAAAAGCGAGTGAAATCGTAGTACATGGCAGGCACATGAACAAAGCCCGAAGGCAAAAGAATAATCGAAAGTAAATGCAAAATGAATGGAACAGGATTGAGAGAGGGCAGCGAGAACAAGGCTCAAAGCAGGGATGGATCGAGTGTCCCGCCCATGCTGTCCATGGTCTTCTCGAGCATATCGAGGTCCATCATAGTTCCAGGGCCATAGTCTGGAAAGAGCATCATGTCTTCGCTGTCCATGGGAGGAAGAACAACTCCGAGATTCTGCAAGTCTTCTGAAAGTTGCAGGTCAATCGGAAGAGCGTCGCCCGTCATTGTCATTGCCCATGCGTCAGGCATATCGGCGTCTTTGAGATCGATGTTGATGAATAGGTTATCATTCTCCGAGATGTCGGACTGTCGTGTAGAAGGTGTATCCTTATTGGATGATTCGGGTGTAGCCGATGGCGAAGCAGGTCGGGAACGGAGTGTCCAGGCGTGGTCTTCATCCTTGAGATCCATCACGGTGAATGGTCCGTTCGCATCAAGAGCCGCGAAAGTGTCTTCGTACGAGTAGTCAAGAAGCGACATTGGCAACATTGGTTGTTGCGGCTTCTGCTCTTCTTCCTTGGGCACAGGCTCTGGAGCTGTCGCTTGTTGCTCCTTCGGTGCTGATTTGGGAATACTGGCTGGCGTGGGTTTACCGCGAGCACCCGAGCCGGGGGTAGCCACCTTCGTCATTGCCTGAGGTGTCTTGAGCAGGTTTGAAGATGGTGAGTCCTTGACGCCTGTTTGCGTTGGCACACGCGCCATCGCCGTAGCCGTCGCTTGTTGCCCGACTGGAGTGGCAGCACTGTGCGAAGCGCCAGGGGTCTGCCCCGGTTTGACGGGTTGTTGAGGTACTTGTGGAGCAGCTGGTACAGGCTTCGAGGCACGTTTTGCGGCATTCTGATCCACCTTGGCTTCGCCAGTTTTCTGGTCAATATCAAGGTAATCGGCCATGGAATCCAGAGCAAACTGCATCGGATTCTCAACCTTTGCATGTATCTGACTATGCGCTTCTAGTTCAGCTTGGGTGTCAAATCCTCGAACGGAGTACTCGCAACTCGCGTCGTTGCATCGGAAAGTCGGCCGCTGGGGCACGTTGGGCGGTGGTTGTCTCTTGAGCTCAGGTGAGTTACCTGTGCCTGAACCAATCCGAGGAGACGCTCTAGCACCCGGGGTAGATGTCTCACTACCCGCGAGTTTTGCACGCTTCTTCTCAGGCAACACAAGGTTCGTGACTGGCCTCGCGCCCTCGAAGTAGTGTGCTGCTCCGTGACCCGAATCAGCTCCGATGGCAAACGGTGGACGGTCGGTGGTAGGGGCGGAAGGAGCCTTCTGGCTGCGGTTTTGTTGTTCTACGATTTTCAGATTTGCGGCATTAAGTTGAGCGGGCGGGGCATTCGAACCACCCTGAGGTTGCGGCTGCGACGCAGCTGATTGCTGCTTAACCTTTTCCATGATCTTAGCGACAAACTTGAGAGTCGCGCCCATATGGTTCTTAAACTCTTCAATAGTCAGAGTGACTTGAGGGTGGAGCGTTCCGTCAGCTTGGTCGAACTGCTGATATAAAAGTACGCGAGATGCCATGATCTGACGAAGAACTTGCTCAGGCTCAGAGGAGTCGTATGAGGCGTGGAAGATACGTAGAGCCTGGTCCACCTGCTTTAACCGATGGAGCTGTTCTTTCAGTGATCGCTGCAGAGGTACTCGCATCTGCGGCGGAAGCTGCACAGGCTGTCTGGCGGGAATGCTCTTCTCGACTTCGTCCATCAGCTGCTTGAACTGTCGTGTCCTTGTCGGATCTGCCATTCGTTGCCGTAGTTCTTCGTGGTTGACCACACCACCTCTTTGTTGCTGCATCTTGTTGTTCGATGGGTCCTGGGCCTTCAGCAACTGGGCCTTATATTGCGTCTGCTGAGCAGGGGTAAGCTTGGACACTTGCTCATGGGTAAGGTTGAATCCGGGCTGAGACTTTGAAGAAGCCATAGCAGCAGCTTGTGGCGTGGCATCATTGCCAGACTCTGTAGAGTCCTCGTTCGGTCGCTTCGTGCCTTTGTTTCCGGCGTTATTGGAAGGTTGCGACTGCATGGGCTGCGATTGTGGTTGCGGTCTGGCTGCTGCTTTTGGCTGGGGTGTTGCCTGTGTTGGGGGTTGCGCCGTCGGTGGGCGGTTGGGCTGATGCTGTTGAATAGGCATGTTGACTGGCGGCTGCGCTTGGTTACGTTGGGCTTGTTGGTTGAGCATTGCAGATTGCGCCTGCTGCTGCCTTTGTTGCTGTAGATTCTTCATCCTCAGTGAGATCATGAAACCTCGTAGTTGTTCGTCTGGTAGATTGGCTTGTGGCGAGCCTGCCATCCTTGCCCGAAACTGTTGCAAGTCCTGTGGGGTGACCTGAAGGGCGGCCATGTTCGGCATGTTCTGTTGCTGCTGTGGTGTCCTAATAGGGCCTTGGTTCGCATTGACTTGCACAGGTGGAGCGAGCCCATGGCCAGGCTGTGGTGTAGGATGGACACCCCCCACACCACCGGATTGTCTTACCATGTCCTGGAAGTGAAGAACTTGTAGCATGAGCAGCTTTTGACTGTCAACACCTGGTACCAGAGCGGGATTCTGGCTGGCCCATAGTTTCAGCTGCTGCCATGTTCTAACGTCCTGGGGAAGGCTGTTTCGAATTGAATTGTTCAAAACATTCGGAGGGAACGGTTTTGGGTCAGTAGCATGTATGATACCAGGGTTGGCTCGTAACAAGTTGGAGGCAGCTTGCAAACGCTGTTGCTGAGATGGCATTGGGGGACGCTGTGCCCCCATAGGAGGCTGTGGCCCAGCTCCAGGTTGTGGCTGCCCAAGGTTCATGCCAGGGCGAACCATATTGGGCATGTTAGGACCGCCAAGCATTTGACCGGTCATGCCAGGCGGCAGCTGCTGCTGTTGGTTGAACGGCATATTCGGCTGGCCTGCGTTAGGTTGGCCTGGTGGAAAAGCGCCGTTTTGCATGCCATTACTGCGACGAAGGTTCATCATGTAACTTTGTAGTATCACACGGAACTGGGGCTCCGGAACCTTGAGCAGTTGCTGCTTTACGTTTGGGTCGAGGTCGGCTGGCATCATATTCATGCGAACCTGATCAGTCAGCGGTTGCTGGTTGGCCGCTTGGACGGCAGCAGCTCTTTGTTGGGCTTGACGCATAAGTTCGGACAAGTTGGGATCGGCTTGGCCAGGTTGAGGTGTCATGATCGGAACATGAGCTTGAGGGGGGCGCTGCTGTTGCGGTGTCCCGGGAGGTCCTGATTGTCCTGGTGGAGGCATGGGTCGGTTGAGCATAGGCATAGCAGGGCTAGCTTGTTGCGAACCTCCGGGGAGGTTCAGTCCTCCAATTTGACCTTGGAGCAGCTGGTTTTGTTGGTTGCGTGCTTGAGCTGCCTGTTGCTGCCGTTGTTGTTCCAACCGCGCCTGGGCCTGAGCCTGGGCCTGTGCATGCGCTTGCGCTTGTTGCGCTTGTTGCGCCTGCTGCTGGCGGTGAAAGGCTTCAGCAGCCTGACGCTGCTGAGCCATAGCATTTTGAGGTTGGTTTTGTTGCGAGTTTTGACCTGGGAAGCCACTCATCTGACCACCATTATTCGGGTTGTTACTTGCAGGTACCACCGTGGTGCCCTGGTCTTGGCTGCGCATAGCTTCCATCTGCCGATTTGCTATCTCGGTGAAATCGAACTCTTGGTTAGGCTGACGTTGACCCATATTCATCTGCTGGCTCTGCATCCGGTTCGGCTGAGCAGCTCCTTGCATGGCGCCGGCATTCTGAGCAGCTCCCTGCTGGTTGAGGGCGCCTCTTCGGTAGAGCATGTCAGCATGTTGTCGGAAGCGGAGGAAAAGAGGGTTGACGCCTTGGGCAAGCAACTGCTGTTTCTTGTCCTCGGGCCAGGCTCGAATATCAGCTTCAAACTTGAGCCGAACCTCCTCTTTACAGGTGTCCATCAACTTCTTTGCGAATTGGTTGATGATCATTTGGTCCTGACGATTCTGCTGCTGGTTCTGATTGGCCTGCATGTTCGGTTGCTGGTTATTCTGACCCGGTTGGGACATGTTGGCGGGGTTTGCACCATTTACACCCATCGAAGACTGTCCTTGCGTCATGGGAACGGGCGAAACCTGCATCGGTCGCTGGAGTTGGGCGTTCGGAAAGGCCGGGTTGAACTGTTGTGGGGTTCCCTGCCTGGCGCCTTGCTGACCCATCTGATTCATCATGTTCATCTGGGCGGGGTTCATGCCGTTCATACCGTTCATCGGGTTGTTCATATTGTTGGGTGCGCCGCCTTGCATGCGTTGCTGCAGTTGTTGCTGCCGCGCTGTCGTCATGACGATGAGCTTTTGTTTGATGTTGGAGACGTATTGGTCCTTTGTTGACGAAGACATAAAGGTTTGCGTCTCGAACTGGAGGGCGGCGCGCATGGACTCGACTTCGGCGATCTCAGGCTTCAGCAGGCGGTACTGAGTGAAGAACTGAAGGGCCAGCTGACCGCGCTCCTCAGGCGGTGTGCCCTGCTGCCAGCCATTTGGAATCTTACCCTGCTGCTGCTGGACACGATAGTGCTGGATAAAGTGATGGAGTCCCGCAGCGGCCCGGTTTTGTTGCATGCCATTCTGTTGCATGTTGGGGTTGTTCATGATGGCGCGCGAACGATCGAAGGCGCGTTATGTCGCAAGCTGGCAGAGGTGCGACGGGTATACGCAGCGGTGCAGTGCCGCGGAAGTGCAGTGAACAGCAGCACTCATGCAGGCCGAGGGTTTCAGTGATGCGGCGGGCGGCGGGTCGACTACGGCGTCGAGGCGTGGTGTTTGGTGTCGAGTAGATGACTTGGTGAGACCCAAGATGGGGCGGTGACGGTAACGGGGAGTGACGTTGGCGAAGATGCGAGCGACCAGAGAGAGAAGCGTGTCGAGTGTCGTGGAAGAGAGCCTGGGCCTGCGGCTCGAGAGGGAGGATGTGAGAAAAGGCAGGGCCACAGCTGCTCACCTGGAGTGAGGCTTAGGTGAGTGAAAGGCGGAGGCTCGAGAGGACGACGCCAGCTGCGGCTCGAGACTGATCGACAGTTGCGGACAGGGCGCAATGTTAGCGCAGCACCCGTGGACCCAAACGACGGCGCCTAAATTACGCAGCTGCAGCTTTCAAGACGACGTGTCCATGGGGACAAGATGCAGCTATCGAAGTGGTGATGTCGCTGGAACGGCAAAGAAGAAGAAGAAGATGCAAATCCAGACGTGTTTGGGTGGGTGAGCGAGGAAGATTGCGAGAGCCGTCAGAAAGAGGGCGTGCGTCGCAGCCCAGGTGCAGCAATCGCGCCCGTCGCACCTACCTCGTCCAACTGCAGGGATCTATCCGCTAGCTGCAAGTGGTAGGCCCTCTAACGCTCCTGCCCCGGTCCGTCTGTGGTCATGCTCCAGAAGGCAGGAACAGCTGTCGAGGCAGACGCAGGACGACGTTTTTCTACGAGAGCTTGCTCGATATCGCATTCATCTATCCACACCAATGCCCCGGTCGGCGACTGCCCAAAAGTGCGCCTGTTGCGCCCCCCGTCTCTCGACCAGGTATCACAGGTTCGTCGAATGAATGGCGCTAGCGCTTGGCTGGGACCCGCCAAATCTTCCGCAGTTCTGGTGGCAGGACGAACCATGTGCTCTTGTCGTCTTCCCTCCTCCCCGCCCTGCCGGCCTATGCGTCGCTCTCATCTTGCTATAGTTCACCGTCTTAGCCTTTGCCAGGTGTTTGATCACTGTGGCAGCTCTACTATGCAGCGCCCGGTGTGCGTCTTGACGACTGCGGAGTTTCATCCCTACCGTCTGGTCGAGCCCTGTGGCTTTAAATGGCGCCATGCCGTCTATTCGATGAGCGAGGGTACGGCTGCTTTTTCCACTACCATCGCTCGCTAGCCACTTTAGTTGTCATCTGCGCCAGGCGGTGATCAGGGCACCAACGCCTTCACTCAAATCATCTCGTCCAATATCCCTATCGAGGACAGATGGCACCCGACAGATACAAGACGCCTGTCGCCTTCATAACAACTCTGCCTGTACTCCGTTGCGCAGTCCCGTCATCTGCCATACACACAGATCTAGAAGAGTAGCCAAGTGCCCGTATGCCGTTACTACTACAAATCATCAAAGGGGACGCCCACCTGACGCCCCCAGTCCTCTACTCAACTTCAAGCCAGGTCGCTGGTGATCGGCCACCCGTTGCCCTAATGGATGGTGAGGGACTAGTCATCCACATCTCGCGCTAAGGCGCCGGACGCTATGCTATGGGTCCTCCACCCCGTTCCGAACCAACACGCCGCTGTCAAAGCAGTCACCTTGCCTCTCGAATCCGCCTCTCATCCCTGACGCTGCTTTTTCTTCACCTCTCCCCCATCGAGAGCAGCTCCTTCAGCCCCGTACCACAAAACATGCCATCTTCCCTAATACGACTCCCGCTTGCCACGCCGCTGCGCCTTGAGTCTCTGGGTTCGCGTCGATCCTTGGCGGCGACGCTTCCCTGCAGCCAGCGCCATGGATTGGGCATGATCGCCAGGGAACCTGTGAGTGAAGCCTGGTTCTCGGCCAATAACACCCAGCGTTTGACACGTTTCTGCTTCCCCCCACCGCTGCTTCGTCTTGCATGGCCTTTGCAATTGAACATCGGACTTTTTTGCTTTAATGACCAAGAAACAAGTAGCATACAACGTGTCGCGTCGCGCCTCGTGACCCATATCACTATGTCATTGGCCTGACGCGTCATGACAGTCTACCAACAGTTTCGTGATAGCTTGGTGAGACGACTTGTAACCACCACCATCGAAGCATCAGAATCTTCTGGATCGCCTTGAAACTTGAGCGTTGTCATATCTCCTTGTGTGTCTCTTCTGAGTGTTCTGTACATTTTCGACTACTGTGGGAATAAATTGTACAACAATCAAGGTAGATTCATCGCGGTCTGAGTTGAGGTTCATAACGCGAGATTTCGAGGCAGGAGCAGTTTCTACGACTAGTCCGTGCGCTGGCCCTGATCATCGATTATCGATCGCGATTGAACATCTAACTTTATTTTTTTCCCTTGTCCTATCAATCGTGCGCGGCCATTACCGTGAGCTGATAGTGGTAGATGCAGCTATAGAATACTGCTGCTCAACTATGAGAACTGTAAGTGGAAAAGATGTACTGTACCCCTTCCTAGGTAAAACAATCCTGTATTAATTGCGTTTGTCTCTTCTATACTGAAGAGGATTCTTGAATTGTTGATGCTCCGTTGCGACCGAACAGCTGTTTTCAAAACTTAATATGAACATTGAAGAAGACCGCCTGACCTTCCACAACACGAGAGCTTCACGTGGGATAAGCAGGCTGACGAAGCAGACGAGATGCATTAACCTAGTTATTAGCATATCAAACTTTATGTGATCATGCAACGGCAGTAAAGCCCTGGTGTTAGCTTTCTGCAGGTTCGTCAGATATCCCTTGCAGCCTCTAACACCCTAACTGATGGATTGTGTACATTCCTTTTTTTCATTCGCCTCAAGTGATACCAAATGAGCAAGCTGGATGCTAGGCATATATTTCGTGATGACCAGGACAGCTGGTGTTCTAGGGTTTAACTGCTTGATACATTGGAGCTAGAACACAGATCATGGCATGGTGTCCTGCAGACCGTCGGACGTTATGGCTTATGAAGGCATGTGGACTAGGGCGTCTCAAGCCTACGGTTTCCATGTGTCGAGTGCGCAGCGTGGCAGTGCCCCGTGGGGAAATGTGAGCACGTGCAGCCGGATTTTCAACGTGAATAAGCAGCTCTCTTTGCGGCAGCACTAGACAATGGTGCGGGACACGGTACAATCACAGAGCACATGACATGCGAAGACGCATACGCGGGGTCGTTTGACGTAGTCTGATTTGGCTTGCTGTCGAGAGATCCACTCCATTTATGATACACTTGATCCCCAGCTAACGTCCACTCTATGCTTTCAAGACCTGTCGATACAAAGGAGATGTCGGGTCGCGAGGAGTGTTGGCTTATTTCTGGCCGAGAGCCGACGCGCGCTCATCTTCTAGCTTCTGGTAGAAAGCGTCACGGTGACGGACGGCGGGGACGTGGTAGCCTTGGAAAGTAAGAACGGGAACGGAAGCAATTTTGGCAGTGGGAAGCGCAGTCGCATCGCCAGTGGATGATTTACGTACCGTACCACCAGCCATAGCCGGCAGTGACGCCGAGACCTGCGATTGCCGTTAGCCAAGCTCCAAAGATGATGCGCGCACGTCTACAGAGCTCTCCAAGCCCCAAAAATACGGCACATGCACTGCCAGGTTTCTACGCACCCATGGCGACGGAGAGGTCGAGCACGACCTGTCGTCGGAGCATCTGCAATCCAGTCATTAGCATCCAGCCCACTACCGGCCAAAGCACTCAATGGCAGCACATACGCCGGTGATGGGTTTGACGGCCATTGTAAAAGTCGGTTTCGGGAGAGCGGAGAGTTTTGGGGCGCGGATGCGGGTTGCGGGAGCTGGTAGTCGTCGTCTGCGGCTATCTGAAGTTGTGGTGGTTCGACGGGGAGAAGTAACGGCGGCTGCTGCTGACGTAAGGCAGCCTTAGCGTCCCGCGCCTTGGAAGCTCCCGACTGAAAGACAACGGCAGGCAGTCAGGTGAAAGGAGACAACACCATCGAATACGAGACCGCACGCGCCTTCACGTCTGCTCCCATTGTCAGGGCAGTACTCTGCAACCGATGCGCCCTCGCACTCCCGCCCGCGCTCTTACCTACCGATAAACTCGTCCTTGGAACCACCATCGCGTGCACATTGTCCAGCCACGCCTTCACCCATAGCCGGAATCGCGACAACGAGCAGCATATGCCAGGCATCATACTTTCTCCCAGCGCCAGCAGCGAGGGCGCCATCGCAGGCATGAAGAGAGCACATGATGCGGGAAACGCGCCGACATACGGAGAGCCACATCCCAAGAAGCGGCAAGTCGTTCGGGCGCTGCACCACACGCAGCCCATCCAGCACATCGCCGAACCCATCAGCGCAGAGCTCGATCCCTTTGGCGAGAGCAAAGACTTTTTCGATCAGCAATTGCGCCGCGCAATAGCGATACAATGCAAAGGCGTCGGCTTCGAGAGCGCACGCCCGGACGCGTTGGAGGAGTTCCGGGCACTGGTCGATTCCTGTATGGCTTCACCTTGCGACAGAAACTGGCCATGAGAGCCCGCTGCACTTTTCAGGACTGACTCGTCACAGACATGACCAACTTTCTAGCACAAGTACGGACGTCAATGATCAGCTCGCGGCGCACCGAAACCGTAGCCCACGACTGGATCTACGCCCTCACATCTGCCGGCCTACGCGGCTCGGCTTCCCTCGAACAACATATTGACACAGGTGAAGTTCCACCATCGGTACTGCAACCATACTTTGAACCTCCTGCGCCTCCAGAGGCTCCGCCGCCCGATACCGAGTCCTTGCTGGGTCCTGGTCTTTCCGGCAAGGCGGACAAAGAAACGCGCCGTTATATACCAAAGCATTTCCCCGGTTTCCCATCAAAACACACGTACACAGCAACGCCGGTCTTTACAAAACGCGAAAATGATCCGCGCAAGATCCGGGAGAAGGCGACTGAGGAGGGCATCCTTGCCGAACAGAGTCTTCGAAAACTCATGGCGGCACAGAAGGCGGGCGTCCAGAAACAGAACGTTGGCAAGCGCAAGCGCAGCAGGCGCATGAAGGAGAGCGACCAGTTGTGGCAAGCCGCTATGAAAGACCTGCTCGACGAAGAGAACCAGCGAGAGAAGGAGGAAGAGCGGCGGCAAGCCCAGACGGACGAGTACGACGATGACTGGGATATGCCCCAAGACGCTCCAATACGGCAGCTGACGACCGACCGGAACGTCAACCTTGAGGAAGGCGTACATGTCAACTACGACCAGAAATACTGGAGAAAGTCCGCAACCGGCGCTTCATAGTTCGTAACACCTGAAACACGGCGGCAACATGATTTTGAAAAAGTCGTTCTACTACTGCATTCTGATAGCGAGGCGTTTGGGTATCTGCATTTCGGCCCTAGGGGGCTTAGGCACGCTTCAGGCATTTAAGCGGCGTTGATATTTTATTTCTTTGTTAGAAGTTGTACTATAGTCTGCTCACTCTACTATGCCAGAGCAGTCAGCGGTGACACATAGTGTGGCCGAGGCGAGCATAACATCTTTTCGTCATCAATTGATTGCATATCTTGACTGCATCTCTTCCTGGTCAAATTGTTAGTAATACTCTAGAGCTGAAATTGTGATCATGAAGACATGCACTTGTTGTGTAAACAGGCACTGCATGCGTGACGTTGCACGATGCCATTTCCACCCTGGCGACCTCATTTCACCCCTCAACCCCTGCACCTTCCTGCTTCGCCTTCCACTCTTCCCACGCGGTGGTCTCAACGTTTAATCCTCCTGGACAGCTTGAATTTCATTAGCTATACATCCAACTCCATCAGACTGGCTTTTCGAGCTTAATCACGACGCCAAGACCTCGGGCATTCCACCTCACTCAGCACTTACCGTCTCAGCAAGTGAACTAACGGCTCACATAGTACGCCAGATGCAACCGCCTTCTCCTTCGGCTGCTCTACAAGACATTTGTACTGTACCAATTCCTTCAGCACACAATCGCCCAATTTGACTTTGGGATTCCGTGGCTTGCCGGACGGCAAAGTGTTGATTGACGCTTCCAACTCGGAGACGGGGATCGTTGAAATCGGTGGTGCCATTGCGCGAAGAAAGGTATATCAAGCGGTCTGACTGCGGTCGACTAGAAGACAAAAGAGCGGGGTGGTTGTCTGAACGGAAAGAGGAAGATGAGTAGTGATGGAGCGAAGAGGCTTGGGGAGAAACTGCTGATGGAGGTGGATGTTGAGGATTTGAGCTCGGTATTTTGCATTAACACGACGATCCTAGAATATAATGTATACTAACGTCGGCACAGGTCTTCAGATCTCTTCGAGAGTTTGTTATAAGCGAGGATAACGTGTATGTGTTGTTGTTTACAAAACTAGACCAGATTTTTATCTTTCATTCTCATTGGTGGGATGAAGTACGAATCGATGCTGACTTTGAATAGTACCATTGGCACGAACACCACCCAAACATCACATTTCAATGTCCCGGAGATTGACCGTCTCATTTCTGGCTCAGATTCCCCGATCCTTGAAATCATTTCCTCACCACCAACACAACACCCCTCTGGAGCCGGGAAAACATCACTTCTCTATTTCATGATTGCCCACGCCATACTCCCCCCAACTTTCCGCGCCGTCTCAGTAGGCAGCCAAGGGGTAGCCGTCGTTCTTTTCGACCCACTACATCACTTCAGCATCCTTCGATTAGCAGAAACAATGCTGTCACTCGTAAATTCGCAACTCCTTTCCACAGACCTGGAGATCAATGAACCCCTAAAAGTCGATGTCAAAATCATGGTCAAGACCGCACTCCAACACCTCCATATCTTTTACCCTAAGTCCTGGCCTTCTCTGCTAGCCACTCTTGATTCCCTACCAGACTACCTGTTGAACCAGACGACTCCACACAAGAGTATGCACCACCGTATCCAGTCCATTGTCTTGGAAGACATCGACGCTTTTATCTGGTCGATACGAAACACAAACACTTCTTCTGTCTCCATGTCGTCAAACACTTTGGCAGTGGCATCCACACAACTCATAATCCGCCTCACCAAGCTAATCAAACTACTCTCCTGTGGCGCGGTACTTACATCGCATTC